TAAGGTGGCCTTGTTTTGGCCTTTAAAATTCAGAATTTGGGTGATTTAGACAAAAATAACCTATAAAGAAACAAACAGAACTTCCTGTTCTGCATGTAATTTTTAAACCTGGATAAACCAGGAGATCTGATGGATATACATCTTGGGTATCAAGGCCTTGTTTCTGCCCTTATGCTATTTTTCTGTTGTATGTACGCTTACACGCTTATATCCTGCAATATACCGAATATACCAAAACACCCTGCAAGTAACAAAGACATTTGTTTCCATAAATCTACTACGTCGCCTAAAGACCTTTTCAGAAAGTATTTTAAAGTTATCCTCGAATAAACTGAATCCCAAATTCAGAAAAAAGAACTTTTATAAATGATGCTGTTAAAACATAAATGCAAGATTACATCGCCACTTCTCCCGGAAGGCAGTTACAGACCACGTGAAGAGGTGTACATAAACCACACGTATGGGTGTACATCCATACAGAAATATATATGAATGTATAAATTGCTAACATCCAATTCATAGGAATGTTGTTGGCTTCTCTTCACTGATCAAAAAACCACTCTGAAACAGGAGCTTTCTTCCCACCTGCCTTAAGGACTTTCAGTCGGAGCTGAAGAGCCTCCCTCCCCAGACACAGGAATCCTATCAATGATTATACCATGTGGGATGTCCAGGATAAATGCCACTTACTGATCACACTTGAGAGGGGAAATGTACATTCTTCAAGAAGTTCTGTGTAACTCAGGCATTCAACCTTTCCACGAGACATCCAGTGTTTTTACTTCAAAGCAAAATGAGCAAACTGCTCCCTGCGTGCCCATCAGGGAAAAGGAATTCTAACCGAGCTAACAAAAACGTACAAAAAAGCCTAGATGATTTCCAGATCAGACCTGGGACAAACTGAAACCAACGTATTATTTCTTGCATGTGAATGTCAGTGAAAATAGGAATACGACATCCAAATTGCAGATTAGGGTATCAAACACTGTTTCTTCCTGATTTTCAGAGGTGCAGGTAGGGTGCATTTAATATATACTGAATAATTTTTGGCCTGTGGTTAGGCAAGTCTTTTGAGACTTTATATACAATAAAGTACTCTGACTAAAATCTGGAAAATTACCTCTTAAGGCTCTAGCTGTACAGCATCAATAGAAATGTGGTGCCAGCTAATGGCTGCAATAACTGTCTTCATCCCTAGAGAATAATGGATGGAGAATATATCAATAGGAGGAGTGGAAGGGCCAGAGAAACTGAGCAGGCACTAGTTATCAGACACAAAGATGATGCCACATGCATGATGTTATCTGTGATAATCTTTACTTAGGGCCCAGGGGTGGGAAGGATATTCTTTATAGAGAAGAAAGTATCCATCAGGCCATATTCATAATCATCAATGTTCCACTAAGTAAGCATTTTTGGAGGAGGGCTGTAGGAGCACTGATGTAATAGAAATCAATGAAATTCAGCTTTTCTGCATCTGTTCTTTAGAGCAAAGTAGGAAGAAAAGCCTGCCTATCACTTTCATTTCTCACTCTATCATATACAGTACCCAGCAAAAGGCCCTGAAGGAAATGTTATGCAAACCCTTAACTAGTTAAAAATCTCTTTAAAATCCGCACCTTACCATTCCCAGCCACCAGAAAGAAACACATTTTTATTATAGGCATCAACTGAATTTTTGAGGCTTGGTCACATGAGCACTTAACACAGTGCAGGTTACCAAATTGCTCTTTGCCTTTATCTACCCCTTGATGCAAATCTTTTCTTAATGAAACGGAGCTGGCTCGGAGCAGAGGCACGACCGAGAAGGGAGGGCCATCCAACGCTCACAGCCACGGGTTCTTTGCAGACTGAAGTTTGGGCTTTCCTTAGCTGACACGTGAAAGTAAGACGACCTCACCGGGTAGATTAGAGGACATCCTGGCAATTTTTCTATGGCTATGTTCAGGGTATTTTCCACTCCACTTTAAGCAACTGTCTTAAATTGAACGCCAAGACTGGTACACCTGTACGCTGACTTTTTCTTACAAGGCACCAATAAAATCTGCTGGCTGGCTGCCATTCAAGCAAATCAGCACATTTCCATCTAATCACATGCAAAAACGATCAGGACTATGTCAGATTTGCTCACTTAGCTCTGAAAAAAATGAGGAAATGCAGGAGTTAAACATTCCAACAGCAGCACGAACTTGACCATGTTCTACATCCTGAATATTTTATGGTATATTTATTACAACAATATATTAAGCTATACATTCAACCACAAAAACAAAAACAGAAAGACAAATACTACTCATGTGCAACACAGCTGCATTAGCATTGCTAAGGAACACCAAGCTTCACAACTCCTGACACTGTTTTTAATTGTGCATTCCACATTTAATTTCTACGTGTAAATAGTCAACAAAACGGGGAAGAGCTGCTGCTTAACTATGTTTGCATTTTAGCTGTCTCAGTGCAGTTCTAGGGCCCCCATGCTACTCAGCTGATACGAATGGAAGATGTGATTTCCACATCATCACCAAGGCCTTTCTTTAAAACATTTTCTTTTCCTACACAGTAGTTTACACAGCAAAAGAAAAATCTTCAAAGATCTAGTGATCCCAGTTTAGTATTTTTGACCTTTTAAGCCATCACTTCTGACCAAAAGCAGTCAGATACCACAGCTGGGAATCTTCTCCATGAAGAACCAACTCCCTGGGCAGCGTTGACATCCTCACTGCTGCCCTGCATCGGGATGGCTCCAGGTGGGACACAGGCTGACCACTCTGCAGAGCAGGGCTGCTCCAGTGATGGAAACAAAAAGCCCTCTAAGCCCTTTTGCCAAGCTTCCTTTTCAGGGATTTCTTATTTTCCAATTTAAACTGACACTGCCCTCTTCTAAATTAAAAAGAGTTTAGCTGCTGGCCGGCTGGCTGGCTGTCAGAACCCAAAGCAGCTAAATACGTAGCTCAATTACATCAAATTTCAAGCACATCAGAGTAACTTAAGCCTTTAAAGATGTACTTTTAGGTCGAGGAGATTTCAGCGGACAGAAAATCTGAAAGGTTAGACAAAAGCTTTACTGCAGCCTTCAACATGCCAGAGCATAACACCCGCTTGACAGCATAAGCTATTAAGTGAAACAACTAAGCCTCAAAAGCCTCGGAACAACCAGGCCCTGGCCCAGGAAAGCCCTCCATCGAGGGGAAGGGCACGCTTTCTGCCCAGTCACACCTCCTGGGCACCGGCAAGCTGGAGCAGTGACAGGAGGAGAGCCGTGGCAGTGCTGTGCAATGCCAGCCACATGGGGTGCCCAGCACCGAGGGCTGCACCCAGGGTGAGAAGTCCGAGCACACCCCGAGTTGGTCACATTGCAAACCAGCACGGGTGGAGAAACACATCGTGAGTTGTGACACTTCAGGAGTTTGGGCTTTCAAATCTTTTGGTGCATTTGCAAAAGCTTTATTTTATCCTCTCTATATTCCACTACTGCTTCACAAAAATGCACTGAAAAGTGACAGGGTTAGGAATAGGTTATCCCCAATCCTCAAATACAGTTCAGCAAATTCTCTTTTGAAAACACATTTCAGTATCCTTTTTTACCCGTAACTGCAATTAGAAAAGCACAAGAATTGTCAAAATACACATTTAATTTTGTGGTTTTTTTTTTTTGTGTGTGTTTGTTTTTATTTTAACGTAGAATAAAGTGAGGCTTGTACACTACTTCTCTTTGGTAGAATAAAAAGGAAGAGCAAGGAACAGGAGGACACAAGCAAGTCTCTTCCCATGTGGCTCTCTTTACCAAACCCTAGCAGATTCTTCTGCATCTTCCATCCATGCATAGGAGGAAACTGACACCTATTGGCAACTTTAATATTACTGCATAATGGTGCTTCCAACTGTTACAAGAAATAGCTCCTTCTAGCTAGGTTTTTCTTGATACACACAGATAATGCAGAAAGATAATTTAGAACTTTCCAACTGTGATTGAAAATACACCCAGGAAGTTTCAGATTTCCTTTTTAATGATAAAACTCCAATCTTTTCAAACTAAATCAGATTCTCTTAGTATAAATCTACACATTTTAGGAGGCTCTTCTAATTGATAAACACTAGCACTAAGCACTTGAAAGATATTTTTTTATTTTTCTTTTACGCTGTGAATACATCCTTGGTGTTTAGCATTGCAAAGACACACTCGATCTTGCAGCAGGTAAATTACAACCTAATCCTACCTGCATCCTGTGACAGATCACAGCAGAAGCCACCGAAAACGTATCTTCTTTCTCTACTATACATCCATTACTGTGTTATAGATGTTGGGGCAGCAAAGGGACACTCACAGCAGTGGAATAGCTTTGGATGAGCATCTTATCTGTTAGAATCAATTGCCTGCTACTGTGAGGCAAGTAATAAGCTACAGAGGGATACAGGGAAACCTGAACAAACAGCTCCTTCAGGCTCAAGACACATGAAAAAGTTCCCGCAAGCAAGTACCTACCTATAGTTTTGTAATGTATAATGTACAATACATTTCTGACCTGCTTGAGTTTTGAGGCCTACTAAAGTAAGGACAAATAAAAAGTAAACGTATCTGGGACTAAGGGACAACAGCAAATAAGTGTGCAAATTGCCATCAATTTCTTTTAGATCTGCTGCTTTTACATACAACCTGAAACATAAAACATGACACTTCTGCACATGTTTGTGCATAATGAAGTGAAAAATACTTCAGCTACCTGGGGAACTCAATGTAGGTGCTCTTCACAACAGTGAGAAATCAGCTATAGCAGTAATAAATGCAAAAAATACATATATATGCAAAAGAGCCAGAGCTTCACGGAGTACCACTTGGATTTTTTTTTTTGAAGCAACAGATTTCCTGAAATTTCAACCGCAGTCATAGAGACCTGCAGATGCTTTCAGGATTTAAAAGCAGAAATTTAAAATAAATAAAAAAACTGCTTTATCTCTTGCCACCACTAGAGCAAGAAGGCTGAAGGCAGTATTATACATACTTGTGACGAAGAATTTTTTGGTAAAAGTACAGCTGTCGAAGGCGGCGATTTTCTCTTGCAGGACTACAACAAGTATTCTGAAAACACAGAAATGGAACGTGTACTTTAAACATTAAATGCATTGGTTTAAAGATTCAATATCTAAATGTAATTATTTCAAAAGCATCAATATAAATTCTACAGTGATAAACTGCCAGGTTACCAATACATGGCAGTTATGGAGGATTCTCTCTCATCCCAACCACATAACCTTCATTTCAGGAAGTACACAGATCTGATACAGAACAACACAGCATATTTATGATATACCTCCTGCAGTAAAAGCTCCATTAAAAACAAAGAATGGAATTGCAAGGATCCTGAATTACTTTCAATGACTCAAATAACAATCAAATCAACAATCAGTAGAACACGAGCTAAATTTGAAATTGCCCATTGCCCATCTCATTGCAAATTTATTAAACCATCAGGTTTTTATTTTCTAAAAGCCCGTTTTTTTTTTTTCATACCAAGACCATCAGCACACAAATCTGCAAGAAACAGGATTTGTGTCAATTAGCAAAATTACAGGTGCATGTTTATATATGCTCTTGTACATGTTGCTATTGTAAAATATCTGTTCATTACTTGAAATAAAGTACCACAAACCACCATAGCTATGGCTATGAAATACCACACCGGCTAAATGAATAGGGGCCAAAGATGCAAATTTGGAAAGTGCAACACCTTGAAAGTTTTGCAATTAGGATACAAATTCTTCTACATTAATGACTTTCCAAAAACAAAATTTTATATTCTTGAAATAACAACACCACATAGGAAGGTGACAAATAAACAAATCTATTGGCTATCTGGAACTTTTAGCAATATTAGAAAATTAGTAAGAAACTGGTAATTACTTCATCAAGAAGAATGAGATTGGTTTTAGTTAGTTGATTGAAAATATGGAGCATCATTAGGTGTTCTAATAGTTTTAAATTTAAAGATACGATGTGGCAAACAATAAATCACATCACTCAATGACTAAATGATGGTCTTCAAAAGAAACACCAATAACCAGATATTACACTACTGAATAGTGTTTAAAAAGATGCTGAATCACATCAGTCTCAACACGTCCTTTGGTAAATGGTGATGCTAATCTCCCATCAGTGTGAAAAACAACTAATAACTCCTAACCCCCTTTTTTCCCCTGTTTTTAACTGTTTAGTCACAAGAACGACTCCTTTTCCCATGAGAGCTCAGTAGCTGCCAGAGTCTTTGCTGAAGAACTGACTCGAATCAAACATATACCTTACCCACATGCTTGCTGGTATTTTCACATACTCAAATTGTCATGATTTCCAATTACAAAAATGTATAAGCACCCCTAAATAGGAGGATTTATTTTTGTGTCTGTCATTCAATTTTCCTTTTGGTGTTAAACTGCATGCACTCAAAAGGCACGTAGATGCAGTGCTTAGGGGCTTGTCTAGCGGTAGACTTGGCAGTGCTAGGTTAACAGTTGATCTTAAGAGTCTTTTCCAACCTAAACGATTCCATGACTCTACTAATTTTACCAACACATTTTTCAAACAACTTGGATGGCATCTGTAGCTCCCCAGATGGCTCCTGAAGCCTTTCCAGTAGGCTGGTGTAACACTAGCCACTTCCATCTCTCTGGCACAGAAACTGATCCAGGCAATAAGCCTTGTTCTGCATACTGAATTCCTTCAGATCTCCTATTATCTCATCCCGGGACATTGCTACTGCTCTGTTTACCAGTGTGCCTCTATCCAGAGCCACGGAGAAATACCAATTCTTGGAAGGAAGGCAAAAAGAAGGGTCACTCGCAGACAGAAGTCTTTCTATATTCACAGACCTGCAATGCCAGTATGGGAAGCACGTGCACACCTCCACGGGGAGCAGCGTACTTGCCAAAAGGAGAGGGCAGAGCAAGCAACTCAATGAGAGGGACTGAGATGTGTAGTCATAGAAGAAATTAACGTAAGATTTCTTATTTGCTTGTAGCCCTTTTATTGTGGTAAAGATGCTCCTGTATAAATCTCAAATTTTAAATGTTAGAAGTTATAAATTCCACATATATAAATATTTGTTTCAAACAAAATAATACTTTCAGTTAAAAGGCATCTTCCAGTCACCTAAGATGAAGAAGAGAAAAACAACAGAAACCTACAAAAACCAACTCCTTCCACAAGGCCTGTAAGAGAAACTCAGCCAATGAATAATGGAAGGACTTTTACTGCATGTGCAAGTGCAAAGTACATGTACACAACCTCTGTATATTTGAGTGTAATACTTCCGGATCCTGTACATTTTTGTTTTCTGCTCCTCAAAGGTGTACTGTCTTTCTCTATAAATGAAACCTACCTGATGGATGATTCTAGAGTAGAAGTACATAAATAATAAACAGTTTTCCCTTCTTCTGCAACTCAAGTTTTATTTTAAATTCAAACTTTGGACTCCATTAGTCTATTGTATGGTTAACGCACCATTAGCACTGCACTTGGCCACATTTAATGCATTTTCAATCTGAAATAGCGAGCTTTCTGTGGATAACAACAGAACCTGATACGTTCCAGAAAAGCAGCTACCCTGGATACAGCCACACAGCTTTGAAGTAACTTTTCCATTTTTACCACTTAGGAAAAGAAACATTAGCACCTGGAAAGACTTTTTAGTTGGGAGAGACTTTGAATGATGATTTGCCTTTTGACTGTTTTTACAATTGGATTTTTCTTCTGCTAGGAGGCCAGGCTGGAAAGATTTACTATCATCACACTGTACACTAGGGAACTTTAAATTTTTCAAGGGACAGTTGCACAGATAAGTATTGAACTCCTGACAGGCTTTTAAAGGAACAGGGACCTATTCATGGCACATAACTCTCACCAACTCAACCACTTCAGTGAAACTATTTCTTGATATAATGATCCTACCTGTGTCCTACGTTAAGCAGATTGACTGGGGATAAGAAGCAGTACCATCCTTTACTTCTTTAAATATATTTACACTTTTAGAATCTCACTACATAATTAGTTGTGGTATGAAAGGTGTCTGGTCAGCAGTACTACTTTTCTTCTGTAACTTTTCCTTGACCTAGTTTAGACATAAATGTGTGAGTTTTTAAGGCATCGGAGAAGCAGACTGCCATACCCAAACCAAAATATTACTTGAGAAACAGAGAACAGAAGCTATGCTTGCAGCGAAGTCAAAATAGTAAAATCAGGGAGTGCACATACCAGAAATTGTGTTCATTATGGGAATTTTACATGTCCTAACACAGAAAGAGTATACAGTAAACATCCTAAGAGTATACAGTAAACATCCTTACCTTTTATTGCAATGCAGATCATAAATAGGAGTTTTGAACTGTATGGACTTGACCATCTCTCCTGTCCGCAGAGAATAGAGGTCCACACAGCAGTAAGGTGGGCTTGTGCTAAAATGAACACAGAAACATGATTATAACGAAAAGAGGGAATTTTTCTAAATTGATAGTCACATTATTTCGATGGGACAAAATAAGCCTTCATAAATCTAGCATAATGCTGGAGAGAACATGAGTTTAATATAAGCTTTCTACATTTAGGGAAGGTATGATCACAAATCGAGTTATGATATCCACAATGGTCAAGAGGACTCGTGCTGTGCAACCAGTTAGCAAGCACTTAGTTTCCTTTGTCCCAGATTAAGAATTTGGAACATCAGATCTGACCGCAAAATACAGCTCATTTGACAGGCATGAAATTTTAGACTGCATTTTGGTCATTTAACAAATATTGTGCAGAGTAACACTTTCCTAAAGGGAGTACTTACTTCACTCCGTGCAACAGCTGAACCATATGACTATTTATTTGATAGAGACACATTACACAGAACTTGCATTACATCTCTGATGGACTTTTGTTTGAGCTATATAGATCTTTTCAACTGCTTTGTGTCACTTTTATCATTTAAATATAAATAAAGCTCTAGGGCCATTCCTTAATAAAAAGGCTTGCTTTCTTTTGAGAGGGAGAAAGTGCTGAGTGTTCCGATAGGGCTGGGGAAGGTAGTGGTGGAAACCATTTTACAAGCTGAGAAGAGGCTTTGATGTGGCAGTTCTTTTCCATAACACCTTTTTTTCCCCTCCAAGAACACATTAAAATGTTGGCTACTTCTAGGTCAGCGAATATGAAGCAGCACAAATTGCCAGCTGTACAAACATATACTAAGTATTGGTAAAGGAGGGTGTTTCCCCTTGCCCATATCTGTTTTATTTTACAGAGTTTAACACAATTCCTGACACAACACTTGCTTGTCCCTTGGATCTGCCCAAGCTGCTCAAGAATTTTCTGGAGAAGAGTACAAATTCCGACTGCTGACTTCGAATGTCCCAGGATAACAAAATGCAGCAGAGACACAATATGCGATATATGCACCAAAAGACAACAGCCAAAGAAATAACAGAAAAAAGCAGTTTGACATTTTGCCTACAGAAATTCTTCCCAAAACATACATTTTTCTAGGCACATGCTCAGGCTAATAACTGGAGGGTGCTATTTATTACTTTTAAGCACTTCAAAGGCCCTTCAAGAACGTTTTTAAAGCAATAAGACTCAAGTCTAGTTACCTTCTATTAGAAGCTCGCTGCTGCTAGAAAATACAGAAAACCACAGAGAAGTCTATGTACAAACTTTTTTTTTTCATTTAAGTACATTTATTACTGAAAGGCAATTCTGCTTTTGATAGAAGGATACACAGATTGTTATTTCAAAACAGAAATTAGGTATGTTTATATGGCTGCAGTTAGATTTGCATAACTGACAGCCATTCCTATTTCCCTAACAGCCCCTGCTGAACCTAAGTGTGCCGTGCTGTTTGACTTGCCATTTGCGTAACTACCTGACTGCAACTCAAAAGCACGTACTACCTCATACACACTGCACCCACAAAATTACAGGAAACAATCTTGCACTCAAACGAGTGACTATTATTACGCCACACCTTTCTTCTGGCTGATCAAGTCAAGAATGCATTCCCAAAGCTTTCTGTAAGCAGCACTGCCCAAAACCCAGCACCTTCTGAGCTCCCCTGCTGGTGGGGACTAGGTCAAACCTACTCTGAAATTCCACCTAGCTCCAATTCAACTCTTTCCAGGTGTTACCTTTCTTTTCTTTCCCTGGTACACTGCAATCTACGATCAGAAAATGAGATGCAAGGTAGTTTTTTTTGTTTGTTTTCCTCCTTATTATTTTATTGTTTTCTGAAATACGTACAGAGTCAAGGTCAAACATTTGAAAAAAATGTTGGGACCTAACAAACAGAAACACATGGCAATAGCCAAAAAAAAAATCGTCAGACCTGTATTCCTTTCTTGCCCCATAACGCTTGTGCTGCTGGCAGCACAGGGACTCGGCATTGCCACAAGTCCTCAGGATGTCATTCTGGGGAAGAAATGGGAAAGGGACATTCCTTGGCTAAGAGCTATGTCCACGGACTATAACACAGACGGGTGGAAGCGCAAGCAGCTGCTCTTTATTTGGCAATATTTTCAAAGGTGCAAAGGTAAGAAAAGTTTCAAGCAGTAAAAAAAAAAAAAAAAAAAAAAAAAAAAAAAGGAAAAAAGACTGCTCTCCACTTCTCTCCTTACCATTTTTTTCTGGTTATTAATCCCTCTCCCTGTTCAAAGTAATGGCTGTTACGAACCTCATTTGCTACTAAGTACTCTCAATTCATTAAGCATGAACTAATTCAGAGAATGTTCCTAATTTCAGTTTATAAATTCTACTCCAAAAGCTGTGTACCTGAACAAGGACTGATACAATGGTGAAATCCACCATGTTCAGTTCTTTTTCGATCCAGACTCAGTAACAACTCAATGTTTTCAGCTTGTTGAAAAGAAAATCAAGGATTTTAATTTAATTGTTCAACAAACTGTATATAGAAAGGATTCTCCAGTACTTCAAAATTTCTTATAAAATACTAAATAATTAATAAAATATTAAATATTGGAAATGGCACATCTGAGAAAGAAAAATAGCACTCAGTGCAATCAATAATCAATACGATTCTATTGAAATTTTAGCTACAAAACCAGAAATATCCAAATTGTCACAGAAAAGCACCAAAACCACCATGGATTGCAAGACGGAGCCCAACAGACTTGCAAAAGCATCTCTTAAAAATCGGAAGCTCTCAAAACCTCAGGACTGTGTGAAACCAGACTGATTGCATCTTGCTCTAGTTCAGAAATAAGCTATCAGAGGATCACACAGCCTCTGTGTAAATGTGCCAAAATCCACCAGTTGATGGCATATCCTAGCCTACAACAACCAAGTGCCACCACCAGGGAGCAAACCAAGCAAGGAGACCTCTGGCTGAGCAGCTTTTCCTCTGCCACCCTTAGGTACCAAAGGTCTGTGCCCGTATTGCTAGTGAGATGGGCTCTGCTCCTATTTCAGTGTACCCATGACAATTATGAAAGGGGAAAGATGAAGACAGCAATGTGAAAGCACTGGCTTTGGCAATCTGGTAACAACATTAAGTCTGTCACAAATACAAATTTTGCAGATTACTCCCACAGCTTATCAATAAATTCTTGTTCTGTGCCCTGGCTGCTACAACAGCTGCTGAATGCAGGGATAGCAACAAACTTTAAAGATAATGGGCACAAATTCACCAGCTTCAAACTGGTGGCATTAATAAATACACAATTACACTTCAGGCAATCTTCTATTTGATTGTTACAACACAAGGATAGCAGAAAAGTAACAGATGCCTGGTACAGCTGGCACTTGAGTACATCTGTGCTTGTGCATCACGACAGGACCATCACCTCCTCCCGAGTTGATAGCAGGGAGTCACATGGTTTGTAAACGCTCTGGATAAAATGTTTGCACACAGACACAAATACACTGTATAAAACACACGCTTTTTACATGGAAAAAAGGAGAAAATTGATGGAACCAGCACAAAGCCATCATTTTTTGTGCCCAGAAACAGCATCGCGCTCGGCGAGACAACAGGCATCGACTGCAGGATGGTCTTGTGAGCCCGGAAAGAAAACAACAACACTTGAGAGGAGTACCACTGAAATAAAGCTTTTGCAGTTAATTGTGGAATTTTAAAAAGTCATCAGAGGATGAAGGCTGTTTGGCTGGCATAGGCATCGCTATGGATTTTGTCCTCTCTTCACAAAAGATGGGGCTAGAATCTAGAAAATGAGATGAAGGGAGGCATCTCTACCTACCTCCTTCTTGTTCTACACATGTACACCATGGTGAGATGTACAACAACGCCATTCGGAACAATGACAGAAGCTACAACAGCACAACAAATTGTAGATAGCAATAAAATTGCTAGAATAATACGAACAACCTTCACTAAGGAGAAGTATAAAGTTGTACAGGACATCACAACTGTCAAAGTCTTCTATCATCTCTAGTTCTTTATACAGGCTCTGCAGAATTCTTTTGGAAAACAATTTTGTCACTTTTGGTAGCCTGTGTCTTAACATATTAAAATGACAAAACAAATGAGAAATTTAGGAAAATGTGTAATTAAAATAAATTATCAACAGTGAGATCGCCTGAAGAGATAACCTGCATTGATCTAACAAAGTATATATAAACTGTCACCTCTCAGGACCATGCTATTAAAAGGACGCTAAACAAAGCCAGTATTAAATGCATTTTCCCAAGGCACATCACAAAAATCTGTCCTAAAGATCAATTAAGCCAAGCATTTGTTAATTCAGTTGATGGTCCTTGATTTCCCTGGCTAAAGGAAGATGAAGCTACCTGCACACAATCGCTACAGCATTTTCCACCCAGAGTCTCTTTCTGGTGACTTGACTTCCCATGATGGAACAAGGGGAAATAGCTGATTTCCAGATGCTACATATAAATTGACCCTCGTCTGAGGTGCCACTCTGCAGCTTGCTCCATGTCCCTCTCGCCTGCTGGAACTGCATTACACCACGCTCCATCTTTCTCTAATTACCCAAAGAGTTACATTACATCTGCCTCATTCTGTCCTCTTACAAGGCAGTTTCTTACTGTATTTACTCAGGAAAAATATTACACTGTTAGCAGCAGGTTTCCTACAGTAATAATCCCCTTTTTTTATCTTTTATAGTTTCCACATTAAAAGAAAATTTTCTTCTTCTTTTTCCATCATGTACTGGCCTGCCTCATGTGCAGGCAAGACAGAGTTTGGGTTTTGAGTTGCTTTGTTTTGCTTTTTTTATGGGGGGGGGGACGGGGACGACAAAGGCTGATGGTCAAGAACTTCTACTCATTATTACAATTGCCATTTAACATTTGGCAAAAAGAAGTCTAATCATTATTCCAGTTTTGATACTTCCAGGTTATTATCTGGCAAGTTATAAAAATAACGTTCAACCAACGTGTAGCTGAATTTGATAGGACTGAGCCACGAAACTGTACACATTACGAG